TTTTCTTCGAAAAGGTGGGACTCCCTGGCCTCTGCATCAGAACGATGCATACAGCCACATATATTTTAATTTGTGGTGGGTAAATGTTAGAGGTTGCAGCAAATATATTGTACACTACGGGTCTTTCAGCCAAGTTTAGAGGCAAGCATGTGGGGCCAGTGCTATGATGTGTCGCGTCAACTCGTACAACGAGGAGAAGCTTGATTTTACTACACGCCTTCTCCCTCACCCATGCGCGCGGTTGCTCACAAATGAGGATAGGCTTTTACTTAGTAGGACTTCTACAACAAGCTATCCGTCCTGCTCACGGTGGACGGACATGCAGCAGTGGATTCGACACTGTAGAAGCAGTAGTAGTAACATCATTGTTCGTCTTCTCAAAGAGGCGAAGAGCCAAGCGCAAACCGAATGTTGCAGTTGCGAACATTGGAGCACGCATATAGCCAGGCTTTTGCATGAGACAAAATTGCTATGTGAGCCCACTATTGTACTAGTACATACAACTACTTGCTAGTATAGCCTTGTAAACCAGAAAGGAGTATTTGCCCTTCTAGAGATTTCAACAAGTGACTAGACTACACCAAGACGGAGTACATATGGAGCAAAATGAGTGAATCTGCACCGTAAATAAATACGTACTAGTTCTATCGTTTTCCTCTCCTAGGTGCACAATATTGAGTATACTGACTAGTCTCTTTTTGACACGCATTTACGTTTTTTACACAGTACAGACACAAGCGCTCATATACACGTGCATACACTCACCCCTATGAACACACACACGCACGACACTATCATCTTGAAATTTACGAAGTCACCATAGGCACCTCATTGTCGACGGGTCCATAGGTGCTTGAACGCCAAGGAGGGAGAGGGTAGCGGTTCCCGAGACATTGAACGGTCAATGATGCATCCTCAATTACAGGCAGAGGGAATTAACTGGAGAAGCAGAATAGAGCCAGCACGATGTGAATGCAACTGAGTTTGGACTCTCATATAATAAAGGCGCCCCACCACTCCAATCCATCTACTCCCAAGTCTCTGCGCAACACTGCTCACTCCAATCCAAGACCAAGTGACCAGAAGCCACAAGCACCTATAGAGGTGATGGACGCGAGCAGCAGTCGGCTGTGCCAAATCATCCAAGGCGCCGGCCTACGGCCCCGCACCGCGCAGCATTTCCAAATGGTGCTGGCGACCGCAGGCATCGTAGCCCTCGCTGACGCCGGCTTCGCCTCTCGCATGGATGACATGATGGTCAACTCCATCCGCAAGTTCACCACCGTCAAGAAGCGCACGGACGACCTTGCCGTACTGCTCCAGCCCGCGTGCCCAGGATCCTCATTGCCTGCCACCCTCATCGGCCTCCATGGTGACGAACTCTTTCAAGCCCTGGTGGCCCTGCAGGTGTCGGAGGTCGTGACGAAGAATGTGCACCTCGAGGCCGCGCTCGCCGCGCAGCACCTCACCATGCAAGAAACCGTCGACCTGCACATCCACGTCTACAAGGAAATCGTCTACATAGGCAACTACAAGGCAAGCGAGGACAGAAAGACGTTGGCCTTCTTCCAGCGGCTGGAATCTTTGGACGCCATTGTTCAAAAGCACGTCGACCTGGCCACGAAAGCCGCTGCTACTTAGGCGCCGTTCGGTGGGCCGGCGCCCTGAGTCGAGGATGTGGACGTCGTCGATGGATGCATCTCTTCTTCTTGCCTCCTGTAACCAGCACTGCATCGGCTCGTGGCCTTAATGTTTTATTATTATAGTACTCCCTCCGTTCCCAAATATAAGTCTTTCTAAAGATTCCAGCAAGTGACTACTACATACGGAGCAAAATGAGTGAATCTGCACTCTAAACTATGTCTACATACATATGTATGTTGCATTCCATTTGAAATAGTATCTAAAAAGGATTATATTTATGAACGGAGGGATTATATGGCATTTTTATTCCAGTCGTAATGTTTTCACTATGAGGTGGGGCCGCAGTTGAGCAAACCCACCCCGCCCACCGTGCGTCGGCCTAGTTTAGAATTAGAAGAGAGAAAAGACGGAGGAGAGCTAGCTGTAGCACGGACGCTGTTGTCAGATGGGACTCGTGTTTATAGAATAGGAGTACTGAGCACTTGTGCCTCTTTTTTTGAGTGAAAATTAGTCGTATGTCTAGTACCACTAGTTGGGTGCGTGCGACCTATAGCTGTCATCACTTTAGGTCTCCTTTTTGAACCACGGCTATGCTTCACAGTACATATTATTTCACACATTTATCCTCCTATATGTACTCCTAGGTTATTTCCACGTGCTCCCATTTACCGACATGTGGGACATAGAGCATCTAGGTCGTAGTGCATGCACGACTCGGAGCATATGCCGGGGTACTTTACATTTCAGACCTCATGAATTTCATGCAAACCCCCCGCAGAAGAATAAATAAATGAATGAATTACTACATGAAACCTGATTATTTTCATAGAAACCGGAGCACGTTTATTAAATTTTGGACATAACATGTTTATAAAAAATGACCGGACCGAAAACAGTCTAAGGGCCTCTTTGATTTTTCCCGCAAAAAAGGGGCCTCTTTGATTCGTAGGATACTGAAAACACAGGAATGGGGAAAGTATGATGGCGATGAACCGAGACGAGGAGAACTCTAACTCAGTTAGAGGTTAGAGTTAGATTCTAACCCTGAACTAACTCTAAACCAAAGAGGTGTATGGATGGCACGGTTAGGTTGACAATAAATGCTCTATCTCAATCATTTCACTACTTTGGACCCTATTTCCTGCCGGATTTGGAGGGTGCTTGGATACGTTTTAGTTCCATGACTAAAAGTAGTGAGACTAAAACTTGCTAGCCTCACCCATGCTTGGATCCAAATACTAAAGAGACTAAAATCAAGTTAATGAGCATTTATTATCCTCCAAACCCTCCAATCCAGAACTCGCCTGTGTTAAAGGAGAGGAGTTAAATGAGGAGAGAGATGACTAATTGACATTTTAGTAGGGGTACCCCTGACTAAATTTTTTTAGTCTCAAGACTAGTTTTAGCCCCTCTTTAGTCAGGGGTGCTTGGAACTTTTAGCCTCTTAAAGAGACTATTTTTAGTCAGACTAAAATAAGTCCCTTGGATCCAAGCACCCTCTTGGTGTGGCCGGCTCTTCTGTGGCCTCCTCCCGCTCACAATTGACATAAACAAACCATCTATACAAATCAAGCATGCAAAACATGATAATTTTTATTTTGTCCATACAAATGAGATATCCCACTTAAACATACAAGTCGTCAATCAAGCTTCACAAAATAAAAAAACACTTCATGAAACAAAGAATGAGATAACTCATCACGGAAGTCATTCACGATAGGGAGGGAGCCCGGAGCCCCTCACGCACCGAGGGAGGAGCTCTCCATTGTCGCTCTGGAGGAAGGCTCTGTAGAGCCCAAGCCCCGGGAACCCCTCCGACGCCGGCCCTTGCGAGTTGAGGTCGACACCGACATGGGTAGCAGGGCCGCTTGCCGCCGACTAGGAACTTGATCTTTGGGCCTCTAGAAATAATGCAATCCTATAACTAAAATACCTAGAAAGGTGAACTGAATCTTTGGGCCTCTAGAAATAATGCAAGCCTGAAACTGAAATACCTAGAAAGGTGAACTGAATCTTTGGGCCTCTAGAAATAATGCAAGCCTAAAATTGAAATACCTAGAAAGGTGAACTGAATCTTTGGGCCTCTAGAAATAATGCAAGCCTGAAATTGAAATACCTAGAAAGGTGACCTGAATCTTTGGGCCTCTAGAAAGATTTATTACCTCCTCAAGCAGCATCAAACAATTCCATGCGTGCACCACAAATCTATACCATGTTTGATCAGGATCTACTTTTCCAAATCAGAATTAGCGCTAGAGCAAGCAAGATCACTGATCTGGCCGTGAGACAGAGAAGGAACCAACAAACTCACCCCTCTCGCGACCTCCCTGGTAGATGCGCCACCGCCGCGCATGAAAGAGGGAGAAAAATGACCGGTGAAGGGGGAGCGGGGCGACCTTCGAAGGCCGGAGGGAGAGGGCGGCCGGAGTAGGCACTAATACAGGATTGGTCTCTTGTAACACGTTGATGTGCTACTACAGCTTAGATATTGTGTTACTGAAGCACGCAGTAACATGTTTTTGTATGTGTTCCTGTAGGCTATGTTACTAGGTGGTGTCTATTGTAGCACATAAACATTGTTCCTATATGTATTTACAGGTGTTACAGTTGTATTGCTGCAACACAAGCCATATGTGTTACCGAAGGCCTTGGTAACACCTTTTTAGAACTATAGGCACACACTTTGTAACATGTTTTTCCTAGCGTAGCAACATCGTTAGTAACATGTTTTAACAAAACTGCAACACAATTAGTAATCATTGGCAGTAATTACAATAGGGCTTTGTAACGCGTTTTGATATTCCAGCAACACGATTTCTTTACTATAGCAACACAGTAGTAACATAATTTTGTACATATTGGAACATCTCTAGTGGTGATTGGTAGCAAACACAGTAACATCTTTTCCTAACTATAGTAACACGGCATAATTAGTCCAATGTGGTACTGCAAAATTTTTGTATGAAATATTGTATAAATATAGTTTTTTGTTTTTATACTTCCTCATAGTGAAAATCGATAAGCAATATGACATGGATACACAGTGTATACTATATAAAAGGACCATGGACATAAAGCTAGAATATGCACAAGAAAAATGATATAAAATATCAATAAGGTTCTTGCCATTCCATAGCATTTATAACAATGAACATATAGAAGATCCATATTGTAGCAAAAATAAAATACATTTCTCAACCCATTAATGTAAACTATAGTACGCGAAAGATTTCCTATAACTGAAACCATGTGACACCCCTATCCATGTTCACTAGAATGTGCCCCTCGGATCTTTCTTGCATGAATATGTCATATTTGCATCTTGATTCCTCATGAGCAGAAGCATCCGAATCAACTCAACCATTGAACCTCTCAATCTGGGGAAAAACAGTCACAACTACATTAAGTATATTACAAATATAATTTAACAAAACTCAAGAAGTTAAATATTGACATACACAAGCTGAAGGCCAAGCAATTGTTAATCCAGAGGTGAAAGCATCGCCAATTGTCATACAATTTTCCCTTTCCCTTACCAAGCGCTCACATTCCTCAATAGGTTGATCAACTTGCACTTCTATGAACTGCCGACCTAGCTCAACGCCACCAACCATTTTTTTTGAACTACAACCCAAAATGCTAGCATGTGCCACATGCCTTTTGTTTGGATATATTGAAGACTTCAGAATCACTTTTGTGCCAACCTAAAAAAGGTTCAAATTATAATTGGCATTAATCAAAATCAATTTTGTGAACACGAATCTAGTATAAACACACTATTTTTGTTACCTCCATGGAAGGACTACGTTTCTGCTTAGAGGGCACATGGACTACAGACTTGTCTTGAGTGCTTTGTTTGTGTACTCTAGTCAAATTTCCATCCATATTCTCCCTGCTCTTTCTCATCTACAGAGAAACATAAGAGGAAAAAATGATTTATCATTGTGATCTTGCAATGTAAAGTTCACAGTGCATTTTATTCATCAAATATTACATGTGCCGACATCATTTTCTAACATCAGGAGAGTCCATTCCATGCAAATCAAACTTAAAATGCAAAAACTCATTCATTCATCATTCCTAGGAAAAATTGTTTCCTATCAATGCTTAGCAAGCAGATTTCTCAAGAGATAACCATTACCTCTCTATCAAAAACAGCATGGGCTGGTGATGATGGTACTTGATATGAGAATTTATTGCAACCCTCATTTTCAAGATGATGCTTCTGTACAACAATATAAATAAATTAATAAGTATAGTGTATCATTTATACCATGAGTAACGAGAAGATTCTAACTTGTTTGCCCGACAGAATGTCATTATCTTCGTGTGTGCCATGTTGATGTGTGTTAGTTTTATTCTGCATTTTACATGAAGAGGCATTCTTTTATAGAAAGTTATAAAGTGTACTAATAAATAAACAAATTTACCATTGTTGTATCTCTGGGATTGACCACTATGTGTTTTGCATCAGGTCCATTGGCATGAACTCTCTGCAAAATGAAATATTTATAAATAGAGATGAAAATGAACCAAAACATGTCGAATATATTGACAGTACCTTTCTTTTATTATTATGTAGTACTTCTGGATGAGATTCACCATTACCTACGATTTGGAAATTTTCCTACAATAGAAATTAAACATGTTTCAGTAAAATACTTGTATGAATGCAACAAAAAAGATATTTACCGTTGCCATTTTGTTCGTCCCACACACTTCATCTTTGTTTCTTAATGCATCAATGATTTGGTCTTGCTGTTCTATGCGTTGCTTTAGCTTTGCTATTTCCTCCCTAGCATCAGCCTCTTCATCATGTGATGAACCATTTGTTGTGGTCATATTGATGTTCTTGAGATAACGAGGTTTTCGACCATAAACTTGGTTAGGAACAGGAAGCAAGCCCATTCCATGTACTTGTCCAGGCTTTTCATTCCCCAAAACTTTGTGCAAGGCATCACCTTTCCATGCAACTCTTCCCTGGTCACTTTGTGCCAACTCTGGTTGTTCATCAATTACCTTTTCCAACTCAACCTGAAAGAGAAGAATAAAGCATATTGTACTTGTTGTATTCCGTGTTGACTTGATTGTGTAAAAATTGAATGTATAACGTACCACAAACTTATCTTTATCTTTGGCCTTTTTTGGTTTTCTGTGAGTCGCTAAGTAAACCTTCGCTCTATGTGGCTGTTTCTTCTCAGGGTCCTCTTGACGCTGCAAAACCAGAAGTGCGCTGATATGTAAAGAAAAGGCTGTGAAAAGTTAGAAAAAAATATATACTCACAAGGTCCTCAGCCCAACGAGCAAAACTCTTTGTCCCTGCTGTATGAGTTGTCTTCACCTTTGTACGACTTATTTTGTTCTTCTCACTTACTTCCTATTATAATTAAAATATAATGCCAATGCACTACTTAACAGCAGCACATATAGTCCAACTAAATGACAGAGAGCTTACCCTTCCTTCCTTAGACTTCCAAAATTTGACAAGTTCACGCCATTGGTCACTATCCACATATTCTGGACAAAGCTTATACAAAGATTTTCTTTTCTTGTTTGCATTAAAGAAAATTTTCTTCAGACCAGCCTTGAATCTTCTCCGATCTCGCCCGGTAGTTTTTAGTATCCACTTGTCACACTTAGCAGGGTACAAGAACTTTGTCTGCATTTCAGGAAATAATGAATAAGCGTAAACAACAAATGTACGAAGGCAAACTAATAATATGCTAGCTAATATAACTGATTTTCTTCTTCTGTCAGATAAGACTACCTGTACACACTGAAGTATTGTGTCAGCCCCACCATCCTTCTTGACATTACGCCAGTCCTTTTTGTCAAGTGGACAATAACCCCCAAGTCTAGCTATTGTGCCAAGAAATTTCCCCAGGACTCCACCTTCGTCCCCAATAGGCTGGCCAAGATGATTGCATTTTACAACTATCCGCGCACCATCTGGCATGTTCTAAACAGCCGGTAAGGATGTTCCCCTACGCTTACCGTCACCTGTGGAATTTGTTTACAACAATACTAATTAACTAAAGGCCACATATATTACATTATGTGCTTGCAAAGCACTGAGTGAATAAGGAAAGTAAGGCTACTAATGGAATGGCCAAGAACAAAGGCCAATAATAGCAAAGTACATTTTAGATTTGACATGCATGTATTGTCGGATTAATAAAGAAAATTGGGTAAGTATATATATATATGGAGCTTGTTTGTTAAGTAAGTGCAAGCCAACTTAAAATTGTTGATCCTTCTTAATTAATATCATACCAGAAATATTGTCGACGCGATCATCTCGACGACCAACTTGATCCTCATTATCCTCCAATTCTTGTGTTTCGGACACTGAATCACGTGACAGCAGAGAATGCTCACTATTGTCACAATCCCCATTGGTGTACTCAGCACGACTCTGAACCACATTCAACCTTTTTGATTTACGCACCGTTCCTGACAATCAATTCATGCACCATTTAATCTGTTAATTACAAGGATAGATAGTAATTTATTTGACCAAGTAGGCTAAGCATGACATGTTCCTACAAAACTGAAATCGTTATTGAGCTTACGGTTGCTATTACTTTGTGACGTCGCCGCCCTAGTTTTTGCTGCTCCTTTATCGAAGACAACCTCCTCCTCCTCTAAGCTGGTAATCGGTCCATCATCCTCACGTTGAGGGTCTGATGGAGCAACATCAATGTTTGCCTCCTCGTTGAACACATACAACTGGACCTTCTTCTCATTGGTATGTTCTGATATCATTCTGCTCACATGAATGTCATTATCAATGCGAACCAAATAGCCTCTACCACGCGGGTATTTCTTCCTATAATACAAGAAATCATATGCCGGTGAGAAGCCAACTTCTTCGATCAATTTGACTAACTCATAATAGGAGATATCTGTTCTGTCCATTAATCCCTCAAGAACTTTATGCTGATGATTCTCATCTTCATAGGACAGGCTAATTTTCCATTTTTCCACAGCCATCTACAATGACATGAATGTAAGAAGTATCAGCACCAAACCAACTTTATAGTGGCATTAAAGTGAATAAAAGGTTGACATATATCAGCACCAAACCAACTTTACAGTGGCATGAAAGTGAATAGAAGGTTGACATATTGTTGTTAAAATCTAGGATTTATTCATACAGAAATGGAGGGAAATTACATGATAATGGAAGTGTTTTACATGATGGAGGATACAGACTGCCGGTCAAGCCACTCGCCAAGGTTGTTATTGCTCTGACCAAGCTTAGTTCTAGTAGATAGTGAACATACTAACTTCCTAAATCAAGGGTATAAACTGAATACTAACTGTGTAACATGTACTATGAATTTCAGGTTACATAAATTTTAAAAATCAGTACTAATCAGAGTTCAGAGTACAAGATCGTTGGCCCCAATTTTGTGTAAGTACTGCATATATCAGTACTAATCAGAGTTCAGAGTATAAGATCTTTGGTCCCAATTTTTGTCTAAGTACTGCATATATCAGTACTAACCTGAGTACTATTAATTTCAAAGTACTATCACTACTGTACAAGATATACTATGAATTTCAGAGTACAAGATCGGGGGCCCCCAGTTTTGTATAACTACTGCATATATCAGTACTAATCAGGGGATTATAGCCTACAAAATCAGGGGGTTAAAGACTGAAACCTTAAACTGTAAAGAAGGGGGGAAAAGCAGCAAACATCTCACGTATAGATGCTAAGGTCGATGGTAGTACACAAAACTGCAGAGGAATAAAAATTCAGAGAACATGGTACTACTTCTGCAGTGCATGAAAACCAGACTATAAATCGTATCTTAGTTTAACATAGTGACTAATGATTATAGCCCACCCTCCATTCTTATCCTAAATTAACCACTGGTTGATTTACTTCCTGGTACGCACAAACCTAACACCAAATTCAGAGAGGAAAACAAAGGGAGGAGGAAAGAGACTCAGTCAAGCGTAGAAGGGAGAAATCAACAAAATGGGAGTTTAGATTGATACCAGCCGCGAGAATGGTGTAGTCCTTCTGGATTTAGTTCCGGAGTTGAGGATCGAAGATGTCGTTGCCGCAACGATGCAAACCACACTGAGGCAGATCTGGGCAGCGATGGTTTCAATCAGGCGTTGACGTACAAGCAGGCGCATGGGTGCCTGGGTGGCCGCTGAAAGGCGACGTTGGATGACGATGTAGCGAGTGTTGGAGGGGCGGCGAGGTGGCCGCTGAGGGGCAGCGACGGAGGCCGCCGAGGTGAGGCTTTTAGGGCGGCGCGAATGATGCAGATGGGATTGGCGATCTAATTTATTTAGCACTTCATTAGTTTATTTTTTTTGCGGTTAGCGCTTCGTTAGTTAACCGGAGGGAAAATTAAGCGGGACTAAATTGAGAGCTTTGGAGGGAACTTTTTGTCCATCGAGAAGTGGAGGAGGGAAATCGAGATGTGGAGGAATTTTTTGTGGGAATAATCCGGAGACTGTTTGACTAATTTTTTGTTTGGAGAAAAATATATTATATCTATAAATAATTCGGGAAATGTTTATAATGGGAAAAAATGGAGCATGTTTTGTATTTATTTCATTACTGAGAAGGAACTAATATATACTTATAAATAGTAATTTCTTTATGAAATGAATATAACAATATAATTTTGTGAATTTGTATTGCAAAACATGGTAAAAACGCACTTACCTTCATTCGTACTGCAACCTCCAAGTCTGGCGACTCTGACGGTGAGAGAGCAAGGAACCTCCGAACCAATGACTGGTTTATATTTACCAAGTTGTGTTTGTGATTTAATTGATGGAATGTAAATAAGGCACTGACACGCCTATAAGCACTGAAGCGAGCCAAAGGTGCGCCGCTGTCATCGCCCCTCCCTTGCCGGAGCGAGGCAAACCTTCCTGTAGTAGTCAGTCAGAAAGTCGTCATGCTAAGGCCCCATAAAGCCAACGCACCAGAACAGGACATGAACCCTAACAAGACTCGAAAAAAGATTTCAAAACAGAGCCCTCCCACCGCCAAGGATCGGGATCGACTCCGCCCCATGACTTTTTAGGGAGGCGACGGCTGGCTAGGTCTTACACGGGTAGTTGAAAACAATGTTTGCTCTAAACCGATAGGTTCACTTCAACCACCACAAATCCGCACCCCCCCAAAAAAAACAAGAAAATTTGCGGTAGGCATCAATTGGCTAGTACCACCCCATGAATCAGCAGTGTGATTTTAAGTGTTATTCAAGTGAGAACTAACTGTTCTATTTTGATCAATTTTCTTATAAAGGATAGGTTAGAGACCTTTGGACTACAAGGTGTTTTTGGATCAGTTGATTCATTTTTTGAGTCATCTAATGCAAAATCAACGCCCAGATGGCATTGTACAACATCCTACCTTTGTTGCTCATCTTCTTCGCCAAAACGCGCCACAGACCCTTGGATAAATCGCTAGCCTCTGTCTCCCGTGGTGCTCCCACGCCAGCCTTGCAGCCCCGGCCTCCCCTCACCATCGTCCCCGGCCATCCCTTTAAACCAGGGAACCACTATATTTTTTCCAGCGGGCCTGCACCCCTTTCATCAGAGCCGTCAAGTTTCGGACTTGCCTTCGCCGACTGTCGCGTGCTACACTTGTTTCTGGCCAAGGTCTTATCGGTGTCTCCATGCCTCGCTATGACTTGCCTCGGTGCTACAGTTGACTACCTCGTGCTTCGCCACACGTCCTTCCCATGAAATTCGATTGACCCAAATCCATTTTTAGTCAACTTATACTAAAATAAATGTACTTGCTTGTAACACAATTTGGTCCCAATCGATTACTTATGTGCGATTGGCATGTACATGAGCCGCGCGCCAATACAAGAATGTGTACATACATGATAAAAGACAACTGTTATACGAACCAACTTGTGATTGGATGATTAGAAGGACTTTCAGGATTTTCAACGATGCGCATTCAGTGGGAGGAGACGTTCCGGTCAACGATGAAGTGCGTATGGTGACTTCGTAAACTTGAAGATGATATGTCGGCTCAGTCTTTCGGAGGTGCTCATAGGAGTAAGATGTGCGTCTGTATGTTAGGGATGAGAGTATGCACATGTATATGAGTACTTGCGTCTGTGTTAAAAAAAGACAACTGCTATACGGATAAGAAACATTTTTTGACACATACCGGATATAAGAAACTTGTAGAGAAAAGAGACGTGGCAACAAGCTTTGGGAGGTGGGCACACGCACACACGATTAGAGTTGGACGGCTCCTGCACGACCGACACGAAGCTTCAATCAGCCGGTTGAGTTGTATAATAATTTCCCAAAAAGAAAACACCACAAAAAAAACCTTTATCGATTCGTTCCTCATCTCTTACCTCGATCCCCTGTTCCGCCACCGCCCAACCCGAGCGCTGGCCGCTGGCCGCATCGCCGCCACAGAGAAGTCGCGCCGCCTCTGCTCGAGTCCACACCCAGCGTCCCATCCGCTCAATTCCATACCTCCACCCGCCGCTCTAGTCCACAGCCCACGCCGCCTCC